CAGTAGGACATCAAGGTGTTGATTATATTGCTGAAGCTATGGGTTTACCAATATATCGTGAACCAACGTTTGGTAGATCAAAAATGCAAGAAAAGTTTTATTATCCAACTGAAGATGATGAAGTTGAAGATCTCTTTCGGCTTTTAAATAAAGTAAAAGTAAGTAAATCTTTTAAGATAATATTTTTATTTCTAAATGTATTGATTATATCTTTGTACATGAATATATTATATATTGTTTTTGCAGAAACAAGAAAATATAGAAGGTGTATCCAGCGGAGCTGTTCTTAGTGATTATCAGCGAATTCGTGTGGAAAATGTGTAATTATTGAATACCAATACTGTTAAATTCCAAATAACTTTCATTATAATTTATAATGTTATATAAAAAACTGATAATGATAATGAAAATAAATTATTAGGTGTAGCCGTCTAGGACTTATTTCTCTATCATACTTATGGCGACGAGAACAAGAGGATTTGTTAAAAGAGATGATAGAAAATTCAATAAATGCAGTTATAATCAAAGTGGCAGCTTTAGGTCTGGAGCCAAGACATTTGGGTAAATCTATCTTGGAATTGCAATCTCACTTTGCCAAAATAGTGAGTTTAGTATCTCAGTAATTAATTAATGCTAACAATTTCTAATTAATTTACTTATTAATTTTAAGTAGATTAAGTAGTTTAAGTAGATTAAGTAGTTTAAGTAGATTAAGTTGGATTTAGTTCAACATTTTACATGTAATACTTATTATAATTGTGTATATATATTAGAAATTAAGTAGTTTTTAAATATATAAATTAAGAATTAAATTATAATTGTTTTTTTAATTAATTTATAATTGCAGAAAGAAAAGTATGGTGTGAATGTATGTGGGGAAGGAGGAGAATATGAAACTTTTACATTGGACTGTCCATTATTTAGCAAAAGTATCATAATGTAAGTATTATATGAATACATACTATAATATATATAATCTATATATTATAATCTCAATTATCTTTGTTGTATCTGTTTACAAAATATTTATGCTAAAAATATATTTTTTTCTAATGGAATTCAATTTTTTTATGAGTACAAAAGTTAATGATCTTAATCATTGAATATAAACATAAAACATCCTAAATGTTTTAAATTTGTAGTAATCGGAATTATCAGACAAAAAATCTTTCAATAAATGTGTAAAAAGTTGATAAAGATAATGGAGGTTATAAAATTAAATGTATTTCTATATATAGTTTTTAATTATATTATATAGATTTTAACAATCTATCATGTAAATAAAACTTTCTTCATAATAGAGATAAATATGAAAGTGTAGTACATTCAAATGATGATATAGCACCTGTTGGATATCTTAATTTTAAGAAAATACATCTACGAGATAAAAATGTAAGTTAAAGAATACTTTAAATATTTGTATATTAAGACTGAAATAGTTTGGTGATTTAAATAAATGAGGAAATTTACAGAATGGTTTAGACATGTTATCACTACGAGAGCGCCTTAAAACTGTTTCGGTTAAAACTCCATATGATTACATTTCTGAAGTTGTTGGACCAGAATTGCAAGATGGGTGTAATTTATCTGAAGACGAAACTGACGAACAAGCATGTGACGAACATAATATGAAAGCTTCTAATTCTGGTAGAATTATTTATAATGTATAGCTGATTCAATAATTCTTTTTATTACATATGATATAATTATAATATGTATATACACACACATTGTAGGCCATTTTAATCCCCCAAGTCCAGTACAAGTCTTATATGAAGAAGAGGATTATCCAGACATACCAGTTATTAACAAAAATCAAACAGGTTGGTTTTGGTTTGGTGGTATAGCAGGAAAACAATCAGACGCAACATCTGCAATGAAAGAAGCTCTGGAAAAATTAAGCAGTAGGTAAAATTTACGATTTTTTGAATATTTTCTTTTGCTATCTTTAGTTTTACGTAATATTTCATAATTTTTTTGAACATTTTAAATATGCTAAATACTTAGGTCTAGTCAAAAAAGAAAATCTTCAAATATCTGATATTGTTGCTGTAACATTATATATAAAGGATATGACAAATTATGCCTCTATAAATGAAGTATACACATCTTGGTTGAACAAAACAAATCCACCAGTTCGTGTATGCATAGAATGTCCATTAAATATACATGTTATACTTGATGCTATAGCTTATAAAGAGATACAAGACTGTAGTGATAAAAAGATACATAAACGGCATACAATGCATGTTCAAAGTATTAGCCATTGGGCTCCTGCTAATATTGGTCCTTATTCTCAAGCTGTTCGCGTAAGTATATTTCTTATAAAAGTAAAACATGGTTAATGTATTAAAATAAGCTTTTTTCACGAAAATGGTCATCAGGTGGGTGATATCATATCAGTTGCTGGACAAATACCTTTGGTGCCTGGTAGTATGACTCTTCTTGACTTGAATATAAAAAGGCAGTGTCGTCTGACATTAAGGCATATAGATCGCATTGTTAAAGCTATGGATGCAAATACGCAGCTTAGAGATATTGTACAGGGAATTTGTTTTTTAACTCATCCGAGTTATATACCAGATGCGCGTAAAGAATGGGAAAAACGAACTAATAATGCAATTGTAGATTATATTGTTGTTCCACATCTCCCACGAGATGCTCAAGTTGAATGGTGTGTGTGGGCACATAGAGATAATAATAGATTTGAGTGTAAGTAAAACAAAAGTTTGTAACAAGAAGATAAATGTTTAAATTATATTTTTACTTAAATTATAGACGAAGAAACAGGAAAATGTGTTGGTAATTTTAAAGTTGCTATAAGGCGAAGATGGAATTATGAAAATAATGTTTCTGCAATTGTGTGCTACTTATCAACAGGTATTGTGAAAGATTATAATCATATATCATAATGATAAAATATTTTATTCATATTATAATAAAAGTTTTTACATTACTTTTAATTTATGGAAAGGTTCATCCAATTCTACTGGCAATTTAGCAGCAGAGACAAACTTGCTTTCTACGGAATTGACTACAGCAGAATTAACAGAAGCATTCGAATATCTTTTATGTAAATTAACAAAAGGGACACAAACTATTAATCCTACATGTAATTTGCGAATTTTTTACAAAGTTGGTTCCTCACCTGGTCCAAATTTTGTTCATAATGTTTTGTCACAATTTTCAACGCGAAATTTGGTTAGCACTATTATACCAGCAACTCATCTTCATAATTTTAGTACTTTCTTATCTATATGTGGTATTAGGCATGAGTAAATCTTCTCGGCACTCTATATCGTCAATTAATTGTGAAAATTAAGATACATGTTTAGATTAAATGCTACCAAAGACCTGAATTTGGAACTTTTACAGGAATTTCTTTGTCACTTAAGTTTTCATTTATCAAGAAAATGAAATTATTAAATCAAACTGAAACAAAGAAAATGAGGTCATTGGCAATTGTATAGATTTTTGCTACTATGTTATATATTGTTGATGCTGATTAATTTTACACTACCAATATAATTTATATAAGTAAAATTATTTTCATTTTATAAAACATTTCTTTATCTTTTAGTCATTTTTTCAATCAATATCTGGCAACAATTAATGTTATCTAATATTCTGGCTAGTCAACGGGATAAAGTGCAATTTTTAACTGAACATATCCCGTTAGTGTAAGTGTTCTAAACGATGCAATGCATATTATGTAAATTTGTAATTTTATTCATGTGCCATGTCTCGATTTTTGTGGAAGGTGTTTTTTTATTTTCGCTATGTGCGGAGTGTTATATGTGTGAATTTTGCAAAAAAAAATTATTAAAATACGCATATCCATTTTGCAGTAAACTCGAAATTAACAAATTAAAAAAACAATATATATTAGAAATATTTAAGAAGGCTATTTCGCCTGTTTTATTAATTTAAGTAATATATAGTTTTGTTTTTAATATTGAAATAGAAATGCACGAAGCAGCATGTAATTACAATTATGTCAGAAATGTACTCTACTCTGAATATGCTGCCTGAACTGCTTCCAGCATATTATCAGCAGGTGTTTATAATATAAAGATGAAACTTTTATCTTATGAATATTATGTAATATATATTACTCATGAAAAGTATTGAACAGATTTGCAATATATGACTACATAATAATTATGTTTCAAGGGCATAATATTGTACAGAGATACAAAACATTGAAGTAAAAATCACAACTGTATGTATTGTTATGCAACGATATATCAAAGTGTATATTTTGCGACTCGGACACTCTTTGAATGGTTTTTACCATCATCTTTGATTTGATTTGTACATATTGCAAAATAGTATAAGATATCCTTGTAATCTATTGTAACATAAAATTAGTTTCAATTGAAAACATCAGTTATTGATTATAAAGTATATAAATATAAAGTATACAAATCTTTTCATAGAGAAAAAACTCGGAACATCATTTACAACATGGATATTATATTATAAATATGTAAAAAAGAATGTTTACATACATTCAATACTTGCAACATAATACTAACTCAAGGTTACTGCAAAAGGAAAATAAAGAAAATGATATATATTTTTAAAAAAATGTATATAATTTACCATCGTGATATAGTTTCCTTTTCCCATTTATAAAAGATAATTTCACTTCTAACAATTTTGCTATTAAATAATATAGGTATTAATGATTACAATATTAACTTGATTCTTTGTAATAAACATATGTATTTATCAATTATTAACATAAAATAACAAAATTATAATGATGTATCTCACAATAGCACCTTATAATTTCAAAATTAAAATGCTGATATTGCATATTAGAAAACTAAATTTCATGACTACATACAGTCTATGAAAATTAATTTTTAATAATATAATTTATAATTGTACTAATCATAAAAAATATTTTCAAAGTATATACCTATTTATAAAATCTAAAATTCCTAATCGAATAATTAAATAAGAATAATTCTTGCAATTTTACACAGAAAATTATTATATCTTATAATGTGCTTATTTGTTGATTATGGGCAACATGCTTGAATTATTTTATAAAGAATATAGTTTTACTATTTGATATTATGGACGAATTTTAATGAATATACAAGTGCGATAAGTAAAAGTACATATTATTCTACAATAAAATTAGAAATTTTTACAGATAGAATATATAACTTATATAAACATATATATATACAGTCAGCTTTTGCTTCAAGCATAAAAAATTGAACAGAGAATAAAAATGATAATTTCTTAATATTATATATTGCCGAACAAGTATCTTCTGATGTTTTAAAATATAAGGCTTGTCATTCACATGAACAAAATACAGTTTACATAAAGATATAATTTTTTCATGTCTTGAATACTTTTGATACCAAGGGTTTCATTAATGGTTGTCGATTTGGAGCACAGAAATCACATAAATAATTCTTTTTATCAAATACCAGTCCTTTAGTCTCCACGCAACCTAAACACATATATATAATGAGTTAATAAGTTAACATTTTAAAAAGTTCATTAAACACTTCATTATATAACATTAAACATAAAATATCGAAGTATATATCATATTACTAAATTCTTATATCATATATATCATAAACAATGAACTTTATTTAAAAATTTATATTCCCTTTTTTCAATATCTGCAAAATTGGTTTAGATATATTAATTTTAGAATGAAATATTAAAAAATATATATTCTCAATATACTTTTAATTAATCTTATAATTATCTGCTATTTCATATGAATTAAAAAGAAATGAATGAGTTTAATATAAGTTAGTTAGAAATGTATTAGTATTGTGAAATAGATTTCCCTCATGCATAATATAACTTAAGACTTAAAAAGGAAATTGTAAATATTTTATATAATACAAAACATATACATATACTTTACATGTAATGATTAATATGTACTTGTATAGACATACTTATATAGATATTAATGAGTTGCAGATATAACATGCATATGATTAATTAATTTAATGTAATGTATTAATTACATTATAGAATTGTATGACAATTGATATCAATACCTAAATGCAGATATTTATCACATGCGCTGCAATGCACTAGATTCGCCTCCAGGTCGAGTCTTGAGGCAGTATGACAGCGACTGCAGTGTGGGCAATAGCGACCCTTTCGCCATAGCCTTGTTAATTTATAAAGATCATGGTGTTAGTAAAATTGATTAAGTTGTAATGTTATGATGTCTACTATGATAAACTACACAACTAAATATTTTTATCACGAATTACGCTTTTATCCAAGTATTAACTAAACTAACGCACACTCCTTTTATCAAAACGAAAGTAACTTTACAGATTGATAAAATAAACAAAAAACGATTTATAAAAAGTTATAGTTATCATATTTTTTATATATTTATAATTAAATGAAAATATACTTATTTGATATGTGCATGCAGTTTTAGTTAGTAACTTATGAATGATGTAAAATAAATAATATTAGAAAATATTACAATGTGACAATATCATGTACAAAGATGAAAATGAAAATGTGAATATGTAGATCGACATTAATAATTAATCCTTATCGGACGTTAGCTTTTTTTACTTGATTCTCACTAGATTATAGTTGGTTTCGGCAAATATGTCAAAAATTTTCAGTATTATAAGAATAACATTTTTGTTAGAAATATAGTCCAGAAAATTTTTGATTTTCGAAAATCTTGTTATTGGATAACTATTATTGTTCAGATTTTGATAGAGCACCCAAAAAATTTGAAAAAAAACGCTCCCTCTTAAAAATCTTAGCAAAAAATGGTATATTGCACGTGAAGTCTTTGGGAAAATAATCTTTTGTCACTTAAATAGATTGTACCCATTTTCAAAATCACACCAAAAACAGCAAACATTTCCTCATACAAAATGTTTTTCCAATTTTCTCAAACTGATCTAGCGAATAATTCTTTCTTTGCAATTTGTTCGCGTTATATAAGTTTGTTTGCGTTATAATTTTCATTATGAATTCGTTAGTAATAAATTTTTCGAAATAATCTATAGGCTGCTGAACATTTCCAAAAATTTGGCGATTGATATTTGTAAAAGGAATCTTACTAGGGAGACCATCATCACTCTCGATTTCAATCCAATCATCGTCTGAGTTATCAACATTTTCTATTTTTACATCATTTTCTTCTTCACTTGAATATTTTATAGGCATGGATTTTCTTTTCTTAGTATATAATAAAATGTGATTGCTAGTCTCATGACTAGAATCAAAATCACTTTGAAAATTATTTTCAAAATATTCACTGTCACTGTCACTATCGAAATTTATAAAATTTTCTTTATTCATTTTTGAACTCAATATATTAAAAATTGGGTACAAAAGGCAGTGATATATCACTGATAATGTCAATCGCTCCGTTGTTGTAAATGACAAGGCAATCGTGCCCGTATTTCAGAGAACGAGTTTCGACAGATTGTTGTTACCTCCCACATGACGTACAACCGCAGCGACAAAGTGTTGTCACGTGAGAGATGACTTACGACCGATAAGGGTTAATATATACATACATTTAACAAATGATTAAATTAATAAAAATGTAGTAATTGTAATGATTCACTAATATTCCATTCATATAATTCAGCTGTTCATAAAAATATATTAAACAATTAAACGAAAAAATCCAAAAATTTTAATTTTACCATAAAATATAATATTAAATAATCAAATATGTTTCATATTCATGAAAACATTTTCATATTTAATGCCTATGAATAAAACATCCTTTTTTAAATATGTAATATTATGGATATGAAGAATTAGTTACAATAATTTGTACGAAAACGTACTTAGTATAGTAAAAAAACTCATCAAAAACATTAAGCAAACTCTTGAAAAAATTTTGAATAATTTTTAATTTGCACAAAGAGATATTATTTATGTTATTTATTTTTCATATCTATGATATATTTATGTATTGTAATATAATTATACTAACTTTGAGCATGGAACACACAATGTGGAAACATAAACACGAGTATTTTTATCACCCTTCTTATATTCATGTTGCCATTGTGCTACACTGTTTCTATCAGAATTAGCACCTCCAGGTTCTTTTGAACCACAATTTGCGCACACAGCACATTCTTGACAGTGCCATCTTCCAACAGGTACTCGTCGAAGACCAACACAATATATGTGATATCTATAAAGAATAATAACAATGTATTTTAAAATTTTTATTTATTTATTAAACAAATACACACACAGAGAGAATAAACCTACCCACGATCACACATATCACAAAATAACATTTTATCTTCATCTGCTGGATCATGACATTGTGCACATGTTTTACAGTCAGTACACTGCCAGGCATAAGATTGAATATGTGGAACCATATCTAGTGTTAATTCTATACATGATGGATGAACTATAAAAATATATAACCAGTTATAAAACATATTTTTATAATGTAACCAAAATGATAATCATAATTTACCATTTCCATTACAAGTTCCACATTGTATTAATATTTCATTTTTGCCGTGTTTATTTAACATTTTTAAGCACATTTTGCATTTTAATTTAGTTTCTTCTTTTTGGTTACTTATTTCCATATCTACATCATCCATTGTTGATTGAGACCCTTCTGTATCTTGTGTTCCTTCACTGGAGGTGGAACTAAAAATTTAATAATTATAATACTGAAATATCAAGATCAGGATTATTATAATGTAAATCTTGATATTAACTAAATAGATTACATGTAATTTTAATAACATTTAAACGAAATATTTAATTTATAACAGATACCTTGAATCATCAGTTGAAGTATCACTATCACTATCACTTTGTGAACCTTCAGATTGACTATCAAACTTACGTTCATTTGGCCGCATAGGACCATACAAAACTGTGTTAAGAGGATAATATCTCAATTCAGCAGGTGTATATTCGCGATAATAATCAGTATATTGACCTGGTATCAAAGCTACAGGGTAATGACTTATCTTTCGATCTGTTTCAAACTTGTGGTGTTTCTTTGGCACATGAATAGTGAAAGTCTGCAAATCTAAGCTACATTTTCTGTTTTCTTTACGTGATTTATTTAAATTAATATTCCACGATAAAGCAGACTGTATTGCCATTTCTGCTAAATCTATTCTGTTCCTTTCAGCATTTGCTGCTGCTGTTAATTCTTTTTGCTTTTTGGAATGTTCTTTAACTTGTTTTTCTCGCATATGTTTTCGATACTCCTCATATTGATCAGGAAAATCACTACACATTACATCTAATACTTCAGAACTGCAAACTGCTGTTAAGCCTACACAATAAAATTTTATATATATAAATTCAGTATATATTATTATTATTATTATTATTATTATTATTATTATTATTATTATTATTATTATTATTATTATTATTATTATTATTATTATTATTATTATTATTATTATTATTATTATTATTATTATTATTATTATTATTATTATTATTATTATTATTATTATTATTATTATTATTATTATTATTATTATTATTATTATTATTGTTATTATGAAATATTATAAATGACCAAGAAATAATAATCCACATAGTGAGATGTATGATATATATAATAATATGTAGATATATATAATAATAATAAGTAAAAACAAATTTATTCACTCACCCATATCGCACATTGCTTCACTAACTAATCCATTTTCTCTTAAATAATTTCTTTCTTCCATATCAACCATTCTGCGCTTTAAATCTGGATATTTTCTTTTAAACGACTTCACTCCTAAATATTGTGATATTTGTTCTTGTATCATAAATGTTTCTCCTTTACGATCTAGAGGCCACTCATATTCTGCTATTTTGTCAACAGTAAAGGGACCTTCATCAGGGTCAAAATTAATTTCCATTCTTCGATTCTTTACTTTTACTTTCTCCGATTCAGTAGTTGCAGTACTAAGTACACTTCCTTGAGATTCTTCATTGATTATTGTTTCAGATGCTAAAATATTATTTCTTGTTAAATGAAAACAATATTATACAAATTTCATAAACTTTACTATAATTTTATATAAATTTTCCAATTTACTAATGATTAAAACACTTCAATTAATATTTAAAAAGTATATTATATATAGATATCAGAAAGTTAAAAAAATTATAACAATACTTTAACGAAGTCTAGATATTACTAATAAAATCATTCAATGTAATTACATTTAGTCTAACAAATTATAAAATGTATTATATATATAATCTTACTATTATAATATTTTAGTAATAATAACATAAATATTTATGTAATATATACTTTGTGTAAATGCACTGTTGTCACTATTTCACATTCAGATACTTGAGAGATCTTAGGACACAAGAAAAGACCTATTTTTAGATACCTTGGTTGGAGGTTTACCAATACATTTATGCTATGATTTAGCATGACAGTTTAATGTGTGATTTATTCTAATACTTTTATTATATATATTTGATTAATATGAAATAATAATTATTTTACAAAATTAAATAAAAATAATATCAGTGATTTTAAGTATAATATTATATTAGCAATTCCAACATTTTTTAAATTAATAAATTGATTAGCTTATTATGTTAATTATAATTATTCTTTATTTTATTAGTTTATTATGTTAATCATGCATTCTTCAATAACTTTAATTAATTAAAATGTATTAATACCTTGTGTTGATATATTTCTAGCTGGTGTTTGAGATCTTGAATTAGATTCTGCACTCATTCTTGTTTCTTCATCAATAACTTGTAAAGAAGGCACTGGTTCATTTTTGGATGTAGCTTCTGTTTGTCTTTTTGATGTTGGTGTTAACCAATTAGGATGTCCTGGAGGTATAAGCATTTCCTTACTTTCATGTCCAGTAGATTTTGCATTTTCCACTGTTTTTTCAACAATTTTATCAGTAAGAGTCTTTTCTATAGTTTTTTGTTCTTTTTCAGATATTATATTTATCAATTCTCTTTCATTACCTTTACAGTCTAATAATGTTGATCCCATTGTTGATTTTGCTAATAATTTTTCTTCTTCGATACCAGATCCCATAACAGATTCTATTTGAGTATTAACATTAGAATCTAAAATTGTAGTTTTAGGAATATCCATTTGTTTTACACCATCTTTTCGAACTGTTAATAAAGATTGTTTTTCAATTTTACATATAGTGTTTATATTTTTTATATCTATAGGGGGTTGTTTAAGAGCTTTATATAATTCAGATGATTTCCTCAAGGGCTGTTCTTGTTTTGGAGATTCATCTAAAGTAATTATAGCCATTGTAGAAGCTTCTATTGCATTCAAATCTTGTTCAATTCTGGGCTTCTTACTAAGTGGAAGATCTGAATTGTCTAACTTTCTCTTTCCACGACCTAGATAAAAGTTGTTCACATAATGTATTATCATCTTTCTACAGAAATGTACAACGCTAACATATATTAATGATGTACATGTACTTACCTCTACCACGTCCTCTTTTAGGTGGTGCATAACTTTTTTGATTTCTACATGTTCTCCTAGGTCTTTCATTTTCTCTATGTTCTAGTTGGACAACTTGTGATACCTCATCCAAAGCCAATGGATCTCGAGGTATCAATATTTGCGTTGAAGTATGTGTCAGTGGTGGAAGTGGATTTCTACGTGGCCTGCCTCGTTTTTTGGGCATTTTAACTTCAGGCATTCGGATTGCTGGTACTTCTTCTATTATCATGACATCTTGACTAGAGTTTGAATTTTCATTAACAATTATTAATTCAGGTCTATGTTCAATTATTTCACAATCTGAACCAATTGGAGAATTAGTAACATTTTTACTTAACATATCCTTTAGTTTATCACTCATAGAAACATCCACTTGTTTGGATGGTCTTACTTGTGTAATACTAATTTCTTGGCTTATAACATTCATTTGTTGACGACTAATTAAACTTGTTTTTGGATCAAATAATAGTTGTTTTTGATCTCTCGATATAACTGGTTGTATGGTAACTTCTGGTAAAATTTGTGACAAATGCGTTTCTAATTTTGATTTTTTCATCTCGATTGGTGATATTGTTATTTCTTTTCGCTTAGAAGATAATTCACTAGCATTTTCCATTTTTTTCCCTTGTATTTGTACTGGTTCAATAGTTAATTCAGAACGAGTATTTTGCATAATTGTTGAATGTCCAGTCTTAAGGATCTTCAATGGTGAGTCTTTGTGCAATACAGACTCTTTATATCTATGAGGAAAATTATTCGTTGTTTCTACAGTATCTTTAAATTTATGAATAGAATCTCCATGTACTTCACAAGGTACAATTGTTGGATGTCCAGTTTTTGATAACTTTATTTTCATTTCTAATGGAGATTCAGTTTCTTTTCTTTTTTGTTGTTTTTCTTTTTTCTCAGAATCTGTTATTAAAGGAGCATCACTAGTTTTTGATGTTTTTATTTTTGCACATACAGAAGTATCACAATTTTTTTGATACTCTATATCCGATTTGTTGATATTTTTATTTATATTATTATCTATTACTTCATTTTGTATTATCGAAGCATCTCCTGTTTTTGAAAGTTTAATCTTCATTCCAATTGGAGATTCTGTCCGTTTAGGTAAGTCTTTTAATGTTTCTTTGCACTTATGCTCATCTACTTGTTCTTGTTTATCAGGAGGAACTATTGATGCATCACCAGATTTTGAAAATTTTATTTTCATACCAATAGATTCTATCCTTTGAGATGAATCATGATTACTTTCATGTCGATCTATCAATTCTGGTAAACCTACAGATGTTTCTCCATATTTCATCATTTTAATTTTCATTCCACATGAAACCTCTGTGCATTTTGTTGAATCTTGAGATACGTCTATTTTTTCTTTTTGTTTAATTTCCTTCGTGTCATCTGAAACTTCGGAATGTATAATAGATGCATCTCCACTTTTTGATAATTTTATTTTCATTCCAAAGGGAGATTCTGTTCGTTTTGGTGTATCAGAAATATCTACTTTTTCTTTCATTTCTTCAGAATTATCTATGGAAATTATAGATGCCCCACTTTTTGTTTTTGATAATTTAATTTTCATTCCAATTGGAGAATCTGTGCGTTTAGGAATTTCTGGAGACGCTTCCAGTTTTTCTTTTGATTTGGCTACTATATCTTTTCCTTCATCTGTTGCATCAGGGGATACAATAGATACATCTCCACTCTTTGATAATTTCAGTTTCATACCGATTGGAGATTCAGTTCTTTTTGGTAGATCAGAAATAGTTTCTACTTTTTCTTTTAATTTTCCATCTTTATGATCTTCACACATTTCTTGTTTTTCTGGTTGTACAATGGAAGCATCTCCAGTTTTCAAAAGTTTAATTTTCATTCCTATAGGAGAATCTATTCTTTTTGGGCTTCCCTGCATAACATCTAGTTTTTCTTTATATTTTGTTGTGATATCTTTTGAATCTTGTTGTACAATGGAAGCATCACCAGTTTTTGATAATTTGATTTTCATTCCTAATGGAGATTCTGTTCTTTTAGTTTCTTCAAATTTATGCTTTATTTCCTTTAAATCATCCATAGATTCGTATTTTTCCGTTGGTAAAATTGAAGCATCTCCTGTCTTTGATAACTTAATTTTCATGCCAATAGGAGATAATGATGCTGCACTCTCTGTATGCCATTGATTTACATCTTCAATGTTTTCATTTGATATTATAGAAGGATGTCCACCTTTTGAAAGCTTTAATTTAATTTTTCCTAATTTTTGACCCGGACTATCTTCTGGATTTGGTGAATTAGTTGCTGATCGAATTTTTGGACTTTTAGGCGATCTTGGTTCAGCACATTCTGCAATTGCAGATTTAACAATCTTTAGTATGATTCTTGGAGATCCAACATTTTCAAAATCATATTTTTCTATTTCCTTTTTAGGTGTATCTACAATTTTGGATTCTCTGTTTTCGATAGATTTCGGTGATTCTAACATTTTTTGATATACAGACATTTTTGCATCTTTTGGTATTAGAAGACTATCTTTTGTACTTGTTAATGTTTCACACATTTTTGTTATGTCTGATGTAGGAATTTCTATTTTTGGTGGTTCTTTCAAACGTTCTTCCAAAATTGAAATTTTGGGAATAGATTCAGCTATTATTGCCATTCTATCTGATATTTTAGAATTTACAGAACTTGTACTAGGTACATTTGAATTATATAATATTTGTTCACTAGACATTTTCTCTGTAGTTGTGTTAAAATAAGAAGCGATTGTTGAAGGAACATTTTCTATTTTTTCTTTATTTTCTTTCAATTTATTTTCTTCAATACAAGATATAGAAGTATTTACTTTAATTTGTTCAGCAAGTTTCCGTTCATTTTCCAATTTTGCTGCTTCTGATATAATCTCAGCTTCAGATATAGAAATAGAATCAGAAGTAATTCTTTGTAATTCAACTACCAATTCAGAAGTATCATTGCAAATATCTTCATCCTGTACAAAAAGATTTGAATTTGCTTGTTTTGATATATCATTAACAACACTTTCTACCATTTTTGGAGAAAGAACCAAAGAAGACTCTACTGCTTGCTCTTCTGACTCTTGTAAAAATTTTACAGCAGATTCTAATTCTGAAATATCAGGAGTGGCCTGATTGCTGTCTATATCAAGAGAAGTCTCATTCAGATGTTCATCTTGATTTGTATTTTCTAAAAGAATATTTTGCGGAATTTCTAATTTAGAAGTTCCTTTTTCTAAATTTTCTACAGATTCAAGTGGATTCCCGATATAACCAATATTTAGATCATTACTTTGTAAAGAATTATTAACATCCAGTTGTTTTTGTAAATTTACATCATCTGAATTTTTAGTTATAGACATAGTTATTATATCATCATTGATTTTTAATAATTCTTTTGGTTTACATGTTATATTCATTTCAATTTTATCTTGATCACAAGTTTCAATATTTATTTTACCAGTAGTTTCTTCCAATGATACATCATTTCTATCTGTTAAGCAATTATTAATAACATGTTCTATATAATCTGGATTTTCTGGTATAGATGATGTATCTTCAGACTGCTGAAGAAAAAGTGTCATATCTACATTTTTATCTATTGCTTCTACTTGTTCTTGTACTTCTTCTTCTATTTTTGCATGTTTTATTGTTACTTCATCACTTTCAGGTATTAAGTCAAGATCTAATAATTCTTCTAGTGAGTCTAAATTTGGTGCTTCTATTGGATCTTCTATTTCTTTATGGAGCATATCAGATGATACTTCAGGTAATTTTTGAACTAACTCTTTATTTTCATTTTCCACTGTTATCAATTCCACAGATTGTTGAAGACCATCCTCATTTTCATTTCTTGTATTATTTTCTGGACTTAAAAGATGTTTAAGATCAGTTACATTTGTCACATTATCTAAAATACTTTCCATGATGTCTTGAGTATTTTGACATTGTTCTTCTGAAAACATATCTGTCATTTTAGGTGTGTCTTCAAGAATATTTATCAGATTATTTTCTGAAATAGAACTTTTTATACTATCTTCTATATCTGCTTTTTCCATTAATAAACCAGAGTCTTCTGATAAAATAGGAATAGTATTATTAGTTGTGCATACAAACATTTCTACATTTTCATTCTTCTTTTCTTTTTGCAATATATTTTGAAAATTATTTGTATTCTTAAAAGAAGCAGATACATTTATTTCTAGTGTGCCATTTGGTTCTTGATTGATTTCTTTTACATCCTCTTTCGTAATATTTTCTTCAATACTAGATGCTGTAATAGATAAATCTATTTTTTCAACATTTGTAATTAGATCAATTTTCTTTTCCAACATCTTTTTGGTTTGATCTATTTGAGCTTCATTAGTAACTTCATCCAAATTTTCCTTTTTATTAACTATACCTTCATTATTTTTCATAATTTCATTATGTGTTGTGTCATCTATGTCTGGAATATTTTCTAAGTTACATTTTTCTTCAGTTGTTTCACATATTATTTTATCCTCTATTATTTTATTTTCCTCCAAAGAAAAAGATAATGCCTTATTATCATCCAATAATTTTGAAGAAACTATATCTTCTCTTTTATTTGTCTCATATATTATTTTATCTTCTATTATTTTATTTTCTTCCAGAGAAAAGGATGTCTTAGTATTATCTAATAATTTCGGAGAAACTACATCTTTGTTTATGTCTTCTATAAATGTACACGTTTCCTGAATATATTGTTTTTCTTCTTTTATCTCATGAGTTTTAGTTTCTATTTTAAGTAATTGTTCAGAATTACTGTTTTTATTGTCATTTTCTTTTAATGATACTTCATCAATTTGTTTCATAGGTACTTGAAATAAGCATTGCTTCGTACTCATATTATTTTTATCATTTATTTTATTCTTGTCTTGTAATGTTTTAATTGTGCTTTTGTTAAAATCAGAAATTACATCAGTTTTATTATTAGGTTCCTCAATTTCCATTTGCACTGATTCTGTAGATTTGTTGGAAATGGTAATATCTTTGAAACAATCTTTTTTTTCTATTTGTGAGATACAAGTTTCCAATACTTCCGAATTATTAGGAAGTATAGGATCATGCTTTGGTTTAAATCCAGAAACGTCCAATTTTACCATGACAGATTCTGTAGTGTCTGAAAATATTGAAGATTTATTGTTATCTAGAAAATAACAACTTTTTATCAATGAATTTTCTGTAATATTATCAGAAGAACTGAAACTAACTTCAGCTGGATTTTCTATATAATTGGAATTAACATTATTATTAGAAATATTTTTTTCTGAATTAACAGTTGTTGTTAATATATTTGTTGTATTTAACTCTGTACATGCTGAATCAAGAGTATCAGTATTAATAGATATTATTTTTTCAGTCATATTAAAAGTCGTACATAATTCTGTTAAATGTTCTTCATTGTTTGATTCTTCCATTGGTTCTAATTTATTTGTTTGTGATTGTTTTATAACGTCAGGTTGAAAATCTGTTTTATTCATACTATTATTATCTGGAGTAGTTATATTTATTACTTCTGTACAATTCAGATTTCCAATTTCAGATGTATTCCAAATTTCGTCCTGTTCTTTAAAATGATCAACTGTTTCAATAGGGTTGATTTTTTTAGTTTTATATTCTTCTAACTTCTTGTTTCCTGTGTTAGATTCAATTTCTAATGCTTGTATATCTATAAATTTATTATTAGATTTTGAATATGTTTTTTCTAACTGATTATTTATTTCACTTTTTTCTTCTATTACAGTTTTTTCATTTGAAACTATATCTGTTACACGTATTGTTTCTGATTTCTCTTTATATTCAGATAAACATTGCACTTCCTCACATGTATGTTTATTTTCTTTATTATCAAAGACAGGTTGTATTTGCTGTAGTGTTTCTTTTATTGCATTCGATTCAAAATCTGGATTTTTTATATTATGTAACTCTTCTGCATCAAATTTTTTGACTGTAAGACTTGTATCTTGTTTGTCTTCTTTATTTTTTTCTTCTAGATTATATATAGAGATAACTTCCACATTTCTATTGTTGTTAATACTTAATGTTTTTTCTACAATACTGAAATCTTCTGACAGATTTTTATGTTCTAAGGAATCTTTTAATTTCTCTTTAGATATTATATTTTCACATGCAATATTTATGTTATCTATAATCTGTTTCTCATTACTTAGAGTATTTGAATTATCTTCTTCTTTTACATGAAATGTCAGAGAAATATCAGTAAAGGTTAATGGTAATTCATCCTTCCTTAAATCAGTTTCAATTGAATTTGTTTCTTGTGAATCCTCTGATATATATGCTTCACCAATAAGTTGTAAACTTTCGCTAATACCTTCAACGCTAACTAATGTATCTACATCATGTTTTGTATTATAATTCTTAGCATGGTCATTAATTATGCTTACTTTTGAAACTGCAATAGATTTTTCTATTACAGTAGTTTGAGAGAAAACCTCATTTATAGTAGATTCCAATGAAGCATCTGCATTGTGCTTGATATAAGATTCGTCATGGCATCTTGTTCCATGTTCCAAATGAACTTCTATAAAAGAATATCTTCATTATAAATATAGTTATTATAATAAATATAATCTGATTATTTAAGAAAATTTACCTTTAGAGGATATTGTACATACGTTGCTCAAAGATGCAAGATCAGAGTCAGTATCTAAATTAGTATTAGTATTTATACAACTATCTGAATCAAGATTTTCAGATATATTTTTATGTTTACTAGTTTGTAACTGTAATATAGTATTACCACTATCAAAAATATTTATATCAGAGACTATAGGGTCTTCTATCACTTGCCGTTCCTTTTCCATAATATTTCTTTCATCGCCAAACTCTTTGTTTTCACCACAAATAATACTCTGATTATCTATGTCTTTACTCTGAGTATTAGACTTTATATTTGTTTGGTTATTCTCTACTTTTGAATCAGTGATTATTTGTGAAAGAGCAGCAATTTCACTTTCTAATGTAGAGTCACTGACAGGGTCTGATTGAACACCAATAATGTCATTTATATCCATAATGCTTAATGCCTCTGTATCATAGGTTTCTGAATCACTGTCGATGCAGTATGGTGCATAACGGTCTGGAGAATCTTCTTTTTTAGATTGTTCTTTTTTTTGTTCCTTATTCTTATCTTTTGAGCCAAATAGGCCCATCTTAGAACTTTCAGACATTGTTTGGGGGCCTAACACAGAGCACAGTATGCCTGCTGTGAAACATCAATGCCTTTATTGTATTTGTTCATACATATATTATATATATATTCACTTAACGCATACGTATACATATACATATCCACATACACACATACATTAAATATACAATGTCAACGAGACATGTATTATTTTTATAATGTATGGATCTATGTTGGCAACGTCTTTGTCATTTTTTTGAACGTATATCATCCATTTAATTATTATCACTGATATAAGTAAGCATAACCAATCTTTTTTGTCGTATAACTATTGATTTTCAACTGGATAAACTACGAACTTTTAATTGGACAAATATATGAAATACTACGCCATAGAATATTTCGAAAGAATACTTATATATTTAAATTTGTAAGTTTATGGAATTAGTACAAATTCCTTTGGTTAAGAAACCAAAGGAATCTTGTATATATTATATTTAATCAACACTCAATCAACCGACGCTTTGATGCATAATCCAACAAACCAGCCAAGTCAGGGCCGCCAAGTTCACTATTGAAGACAAAGCGAAAAAGCGCCTCTACAAAACAGTAAGGTACTAAACAAGTTGGAGTAATATATATATATTAGTTTTATATATATGAGATATATATATTCATAATATATAACAAATATATATGTATATATATATATATATACAACACACACACACATGACATAAGTGTGTGTAAATAAAATATATCATTCCCACAGCAATTTTTGATCTCATATCTTTCAGAAATTTTACAGCAAGAATAAGAAAGTTTGTATGTGAATTAATATATATTCAAACTACACTTGCTAAAAATTGATCAAAATTTCAATTAGAATTCTCTCAGGACTTTTGAAAATTTGAAGAAACTCATCCGCATATCATATTCTACTAATATATTGTATATTAATATTCAATTTTTACACATATACAAGTAATATAGCGAGATACTATGTATGAGTTGCTCCTACAAATTTTCGCGCTAAATCTAAAAATGCGCAAAAGTTTCTGCGCAAAGGACTACCATATATACTCATACACACAACATGCATCCTCTCCACTTTCATAAAACGGTTGTGCTACTTGTATCATCGGATCACGAGTACTTTCGCAGCTTATATTGCCACGAATGTACTTTTTGTTTATTAATCATTCCACTACATTATAGCTAAATTATATATTTTTATAGCTTATATTTTACATTCATTGTAACTTAATCTGTACAGATGGTGAAATGTTTAATTCAACTATGGCAGTTGTACACACACGCCGAAATCGATAACGACCAATTATAATTTTTCTGATTATTATAATTTGTCATAAAAAGTCAAAAATGGCAAATAGAAAATCTTCAGTTAATTCGAAAAACACAGATGATCACAGTGTTGAGGTAAAATACTTATAAATTTTCAATCTTCTTTCAAGTTAGTTGTATACTTCAAATTTTCCAATTGTCAAAATCATATGGTTTTTGTAAATGTAAATACTTTAATATATAATAATTTTATTTATGCAAATATTTTTGATTTTGTATATTTTATAAATCTAAATCAGTATGGTATCAATATAAAAATTAGAACGGAAATATGAAAAATATAAAAAATAAAATAAATAATTATTTAAAAATAAAGTTTATTTTTTAATCTATAAGTAGAATTTAAAGAATTATAATAATTGCTTTATATTTTATATGTTAGGTTTGATTTACTTCTATTGAATATTTTTATGAATGTAAATATTAGTATACTTGTTTATTCAACAGACTCTAGCAGAGGTTTTCCGATGTTTTATTTGCATGGAAAAATTACGGGATGCACATCTTTGTCCTCATTGTAGTAAATTATGCTGTTATACATGTATAAGACGTTGGCTGACGGAACAACGCTCACAGTGTCCTCATTGTCGAGCCTCTCTTCATTTACATGAGCTTGTAAATTGTCGATGGGTTGAAGAAGTCACTCAACAACTTGACACTTTACAAGCTGTTGCTATATCTAATTCACGTTATGATGATTCTAATCGGGATAGGTAACATAATATTTTTTGATAACTTGTTAAATGTTAAAATAAACTCAACTATTATTTTTCAAGTAATTTTATTAATTTTTAGATGTACAATACATCAGGAAAAATTATCTGTTTTCTGTTGGACATGTCGTCGGTGTATCTGTCACCAATGTGCATTATGGGGTGGAACACATTCAGGACATACATTCAAACCTTTAGAAGAAGTTTATGAACAACATGTAAATCAAATCAAACTTGAAATAGGGCAATTGAAGAGGAGACTTGTGGAATTAATCAGCATTGTTCAAGAAGTAGTATGTATCTAATTTAAAATTATCATATATGTAAGTTAATAAATAATTAACATATTTATTTACTAGGAAAAAAATGTTGAGTCAGTGAGAGCTGCAAAAGATGAAAGAGTGAGAGAAATTAGAAATGCAGTAGAACTAATGATTGTCCGTTTAGATTCCCAATTAAAAGCAAAATTATTAACTTTAATGGGTCAAAAAAATTCTTTAACTTTGGAAACAGAACAATTAGAAATACTGTTACAAGAAGTAGAACATCAGTTGCATACATATACTCGATCAGAACTTATAGCCAAGAGTGTTGACTTGTCTCGAATGATTTATCAAGTTCGAAAAAAACCAATGACAAGTTTTGTTACTGCTCCTGTTCCTGCAGATTTTCACAGGTATATAAAATATTTACATATAAAGGATATTATACAAAAAAAATCATATCTTTTTTATTATTTCAGTGAAATAGTACCAGGATATGATAGTGCCACATTTGCAATGCAGAATTTTACACAATTGCAATTAAAAGCAGATCCAGTATATTCTGCACCCTTGCATGTTAATGGTCTATGTTGGAGGTTGAAAGTATATCCTGATGGCAATGGAGTTGTACGTGGAAACTATTTATCTGTATTTTTAGAACTTAGTGCTGGATTACCTGAGACATCAAAGTAAGTGATCATAATTTAATGTAATAATATATAATTAATATTTTTATTGTTATTTATTTTTTCCAGATATGAATATAGAGTTGAAATGATACATCAAGGTTCGCATGATACAAGTAAAAATATTGTTAGAGAATTTGCTTCAGATTTTGAAATTGGCGAGTGCTGGGGCTATAACAGATTCTTCAGATTAGATTTATTAGCAACAGAAGGTTATTTAAATACAGAATTGGATACGCTTATACTACGGTATGCTTTTTCTTCAGATGTAAAATTTTGATAATTAAAAAGAAAATATGGAATAATATTATTTCTTATACATCCGTAATGTATATCTCCAAAGCAGAAAATAGATTTCAGGTTCGACCGCCGACTTTTTATCAACGGTGTAGAGATCAACAATGGTATATCAGTCAGTTGGTAACAGTTCAAAATCAATATAAGACTCAAATCAATGAATTGAAAGAGGTAATATATAGTAAAACATCGCTATTTTTTAAAATAATTAAACAAAAATAAACTTACAAATTTTTATCATAATGCATTACATAAAAGATTCATTTTGAAATGATCATTACTGCTGTAAATAAACGTCTTAGTATACTTGTACTTATAGAGACTGGCAATGGAGATTTCACGTAATGCAGTAACAGCAACTAAAGTAACTAATGGAAATATAACTCTTACATCAACTGCAAGTATATTGCCTTTAGTTCAGCAAAAACAATCGCAAGGAGCAGGAGATTCTACTTTAAATTGTAATTCTGATTTAACCATTGATACTTATTCAACTGGAAATATTATAATGTCGCAGTAAGTTTTTAAAATAAAAAACATAATATATAGAAGATATATAAAAAATAAAGAGAGAAACATAAAAATATGTTGTAGATTTTTATGTAAAAATCTTATTTATTGATTAGGCCTGTTCAAAATACTTCTCCCAATGGCGTTATTAATGAAATAACATCAGAAGATCATTTAATACCTTTGACTGAATTAGGAAACTTAAAAAATATTCATCTTCCTGTATCATCTTCCACATTATCTTCAGTATATTCAAAAGCAAGCGTAAAACAAAATAGCTCTAGTAATATTAATATTGTTGAAACTGAATCACACATACCACATACTACTAATGATGGATCAGTAGGTAATATTCAACCGACAGAAACTAATTCGTCATTGCCATCTTATTCTTCCCCAACAATTCTAAATCAACAACCATTAAATATTTCATCAAGCAGTAGTAGTAGTGACAGTGGCGTAAGTCTACTAAGATATCTTAATATATTTAATGTATATATATTTTTTAATTTTATAGTTGATTTTACTTGTTGTAGGAACTAAATGAGCATGATATATACATAGCTGAATGTGAGAATACTGAACGTACACTAACATTATTAGACGATAATTCCAATGATGAAAATGATGTAGATGATGAAACCATGTCAGGTATCAAGCATAGCATATATTTCATAGTATATACATTAATAATAGATTTTCTTTCTACAAATACATTCAAAAATTATATACTTTGAATTTAAAATTAACTTCCTATTATCTATGTACTATGTTCAAAAACGATTTGCACTTAAAAAAATATGTAATAAATTAGGTACAAGTTCAAATAGAGGTCCACTTTTAGAAGAGGATCTAAGACTTATTTGGCAAGAAAATATACTTGATAAAGATATCTCAAATAAAAAACCGACAAAAATGAATTACAAAGAGGAGAATGTGTAGAAAAAAATATACTATACTTAATGCTCCAAATAATTTTGCGATAAATTTATTAAAAGTAGTACAAACTAAATGAAAATAATTCTAATACATATATAAAAATTATTGATAGTATTAATATTGTATATGACAATAAAGGTTATTCAACTAATATTTTATATTGATATGCACAAAATAAAATTTTATATATGTATATATATTCTTCTTTCAGACTTCTATTGAATTAAAAGTATTATGTTAATAATTATGAATGAAAATTCCTTTGGATAAATATATTTGATAAGTATCTTTATGTTTAAGGTGAA